ATTACCCAATCCCCTCACATTCCAGCTTAGAATTCTCATCTCAACTTTAGAATTTAACCCTAAAAAACCACCAGATATCTATTTGAATCCTTTCCTTCTATCCCCTCTCACCCCAAACTTATTATCCCYCTCGATATCTCTCTTTAATCTCTCCACTTCACTCAATTTTCTTTTCTTAATCTTGCTCGCCTCCTTTCTTTTTATTAGGGAAGCTTTTAGATCATTTAGATTCTTCAGCTTACACCCCAGCTTTCCAACAAATTCAGCCATCGAATCATCCTTCCTAGTCTCCTTCCCTTTTTCATTTCTGTTCTCTCCATAACTAGTCCTCTCCTCCATTCTAACCTCCTCCTCATTGCACACCAGCTCAGACCCATTTGTAGCTCTCCTTTGTAGCTCATTTTTCTCGATTTCACCCATTATGCTCTCAATGGTTCCCCATATTCTTTCTTCCCTTAAAGTTCCCTCCATCCTCACCTTTCCCCCCTTCTTTCCTCGAGGACTCAGTGTAGCCTCCTTCTCATGGGCTTCTGAGACTGGATTGGGAATGAAATCTGGAACAAGAGAAACAGAAGCCGCATCAGTAGCAAAAGCTAAATGAACAGGGTTAGCAGGGTTACCTGGGTTCGGCTGGGCAAAGGGAATTGGGATTGTAGACGGACAGATGGTTGTCAAGCCCAGTGTGTCAAAATTGGAGTTTTGTCTCCTCGTTTTGGAGGGAAATATTCCCAGTCATTCTGTTTTCACAACGACTGCTCCCCTTACCTGATTGTTTACCATTCTGTGATGTATTCTTGCTCAGTTCTGGGTTAACATAAGCTAACACCTCAGTTTTCCGTACAACACTAGTGCTTGAGAGAGGCTTTTCCAGTTTTGGGCACTAGAATTGCCCCCCACCTCTTTGATTGTGAGTCTCTCTGTTTTCAGCCTCTGTGTTGTGCATCTCTGCCTCCTTGTTCCCTTCTTGTTCTCCCACCAAATCACCAAATCTCCATGGAATAGGCAGTCCAAGTTTAGGGACTCCTTGTTATGATCCTCTTGAGATCCTTCATCTTCCAAGCTTCCAAAACTTGAAATGTCGTCTGAACTCTCCTCCTCAAAGTCACTGTCTGAACCACAGCTTATCCACCCTTCTTGGTCTTCTACATCCCTCTCTTCTTTCTTATCCCTCAAATAGCGCGGATTTGGGCGATCTGCTGCCCTACTTTCCTGTTCCTCAACCCAATCGAGGGACCCAACACAGAGATCGAGTTTCTCTCTCTGTTCAGCATTTTTCCTTTTGTTTCAGTTCGGCCAGCACTGTTTTGGAAGATGATAGATGGGATTTTTCATCTAAGAGTGTCACGTGGGCCTCTAAGAGTGTTTATACTATCTGGCTCACCCAATCTTCGAACTGGCTCAGAGTGTGCGCCCTGGTTATTACCACCCGAACCCAAACCCCTTCTTGCCACATCAGCATAGGACTGTCGACCGTAACCAAAAGTCTTTTGTTCAAAAAAATTTGAATTAATTGCTTTAAATGGAGCGCTTTGGGGCTGGTTAACCTCCTGCGACTGTTCCCCTTCTGTTTTCATTGTACCAGTTTTCTTCTTCAGCCCTTGAAAGCCACGTGTACTCCAACCGGCCGCCTCAGCATCTCCCTTTTCAGATGTTCGTCTTCCTCAAAGTGATGCCTCAGCTTCTGAGGCAATCCAAACTTTGTACCAGGCACCATCCGAGCATATCTCAATCGAATGGGGCACTTTGTTATGGGCCCAGGCGTAGGATCTCATCACGGGTCGGTCCACCGGGAGAGACTCCTGCTTTCCCTTGCCCTTCCCCTTGCGTACAGACCCTATTGTGGCAACTGAGTGGGTGATTTGTCCAAGAGATCACCCGGACTCTCCTTGCACCTTTCTTGGTCGAAAAACTGAATGCTTTTATTTCAACTCATAGCTCCTTAAATAGGAGATTACAAAAGGGGATTCCTTGTTGGATTCGGCTAGGCTAGGGTAATCCATATCAAACTCAACTCCTACTTCTAAATAAATTACCTACTTCTAATGGTAATACAACTCCTACTTCTAGCGGCAAACAAAACTTTTACTAAGAAGATAAGATAAGGATAAGGATAAGGGATAAGGGATGAGGGATAATGCAGCTGGCGGCAAGTTGGCGAGCAGAGCTGTTGTGGCAAGATAAGTGTGGGCCCACCCTGCTGAGCTGTCGTGTGGGCCCCTCTCTAGTGCTGCTGCCGGATGGTGCGTGCGTCTCCTAAATGCTGCTGCCTATGATCGCGTGCGTCCATAACACACTTGTTCTGGTTTCAATCCTGCAACTCTAAGTTCCACTGCTCGCAAGCTCCTCTGGTTTATCTCCAACACTACTCCACCCAAGGTTTTTGCTACTTTTTCAAAAGTTGTTTCGTTCTAGAGGTGAAAAGGAAGTCCTAGCAACTTAATCCGAAAGCTACCTTCTTCTGGTTCGATTTCATTACAGATTGGGACCCATTTTTGTATCTGTACCAATCCGCCATCGATCTGTATCGTGTTGAAGCTCCACTTCTGAACATCAACTTCCAGGATAGCTTTCTTCTCAGAGAAAGGCAATAGTATAGCATCACCTTCCAGCTTTAACTTTTGTACCACTGCATCTAGGATTTTTGTCCAGTCCTTTACTTCCCTTTCAACCGTTAGAACCATTCTGTGCTCCCAATTTTTCCTCCCTTTTTCAACTGTTAATCTCCGACGTACGGTTGAGCTTGCTACCGTTACTTCTTGACAGACAGGGGTCTGGTCCAGGTTGGTATTAGGTAACCACTGGGAGGAGGAGTTACTTCCGTTCGGTGATTCTTCTGCTGCCTCACTCTCAACTTTCAAGTGGAAAGATTGAAGACTGCCAGCAAAGGAGGCCCACCCTTGTTTCCTCAGACCTTCAGGCACGCAAATCATCTGCTTTTTATTAATGCCAAAGTGTTCTGAAACTGTGAAAAACCAGCCTCTCTCGTTCCTCTTCAGAATTTGCTTCATATAATTTTCCAGAGTAGCTGAAAGAATTTTTCTACCCTTCTGCCTTGATGGAGTTAACTGTTCCATCTACGAAGTCTTTCAGCCAGAAACAGGCTTCCTTTGGTAAAAGGATCGTAGCCCTGCTACCTTCCCTGAAAAACACTAATTTTTATGATCTAATGCTGAGGCTGCACACTTCTCAATAATCTGTGAGCTTAATTGGATCAGTACCAAGGTTGGTTAATTTTTCTCTAATTGGTAAGGATAAGGGGACAGTTTTAGAATGACTTCTAATAGACATTAATAAAAAACTCAGAATGAAAAGCCCACTTAAACTGTTCTTTTCTAAGATGCTAATAGGTAAAAAAAGGAATGAAATAAACCTACAGTCCAAATTTATGTTAGTTCTAATTGAAATATAATTAAAGAGCAATTCTTTCCAAGTTTCAAAGGACTTTTTCTTTATTTACATTATTAATCAGCTACCATCCAAATTAGATTCACACTCTCGACTTAGGTATGGATGAGGTATACGCCACAGGTGAGTCGGATGGATCATATATATGCTTCAGGGGATTTTGAGAATGCCTCTTCTTGAAGCTTATACCTCATGTCTATCAAAGAATGATGCATGTGGGTCCACGGGCTAGTACTAATCTAATAATATAAACTTAAAAAATGAAAGATTAAATTTTAGGAACAAAAATACAAAAAAAAAGAACAAAAGCATGGTATATTAAGACAAACAGTAGTACCCCTGGAATTTCTTGAGAAGAACTTCAGCACCTCATCAATAATTATTACCTGTAGCACATACATCAAAAGCACAAAGTGAAATGGTATCTGGAGAGAAAATACAGAGGTATAATCAAATTGTATAATATGCATATATATGGTTATCGTAAGTAACTCCAATATTGAGTTTTATCTTACACTGCTAGTCCTAAGCCTACATTATCAAATTAAAGTTATGTCAGGGTGGCATAAAGCATAAAAAAATCATGCCAAACCTATATTAACATGAACCTTGAATCGTTAGGTTATCATAAATAATATGCATGTTTATGGTTATAAGTAACTCCAACATTGATAGAGTGGGGTGGCAAAACAGGATTTCTCTAGGGACAAGGCTTAGTGGAATTGAGTTAAAATACCAGCAGTTTCACAAAAAAAATAAAAAAGCAGTGCTACCATCATATGATTTGTGGTCACAGAACCCTTGAAACAAGAGGACAAAGTGTAAACAGGGGATTTATTCCAACACATGGGGTTATAGGGATGCCACATCCTGTTTTTCGTAATTTAAGGCCTCTATGGTGCTCACACACTTGGCACTAGCATTGGTTCACTACAAAGTAAGAAGCCAAACATCTCAAATTTCATAACCATTTAGCCTTAATGTTTGATGTTATTGTCAATGATGAAATGTAACTTGCATAAAAAATTGTTCAACAGACTTCCTGTATACTCCTATTATCACCTAGAGTTTTTATTTCATTTTTATTTTTGGTTCCATGGGCTACAAAACAGGGATATGCCATCCTCCAAACCCATAATCCCCCAAACCTGGTGAAGGCGGAATTAAATCCAAAGTCTCACTACAACCAACCAGAAGCCTTACCAACTGCATCAGTTAGCACCTTCTCAATGGTACACCCAAAATGAAAGTGTACAACTAATGAGTATCTCCAATTAGTTTAAGCCCTTTCCTCCATGTGTCAATAGAAAAATGTGATGATAACCAAGGTTCAAAGTATTGATACAATATGCCCTATATCGGGCATATCTTATCGTATCTTTTGATTGCTGACATGCCAAATACTAAGAATTTTGATATTTTAACTTTTATTAAAATAAATATACAATTAGACAGGTCTCCTGTCAATTTTTCAGAACAAAATATAAAAATATATATAAATTTTGGTTAGCTGAACTCCCAATACGCAAATTTTTGTGTATCAATAGGATCAATACTTTGGACCTTGATGATAACATTGTCCTGGCCAATGATCAGTACAGTGAATCTCTGTAAAGTTTCTAAGGATGTATAATTGTATCTATATTAAAAATAGATTATGTATCCTATGAAATCAACTCCTAAGTAAGGCTTCTAGAGTGACTTGGCATTTATGCTAGAGGAATAAGACAAAGTTCAGTATAACAAAGCAGATTCAATAGTGGAGAAATTAGACCTTGAATGTATCAAATTGAATAGCATGAATGCATATACCATTATTAGAATGGTATAACTTGTTTTTAATTTATTTCCTCCATAAATAGAAATTATTAAGAGTGCCAACTATATGTATGAGAATTAAATTGATTTCCAATCAGCATGGACAAGAAAGAAATGATGAGTGTTGACTTCCTACAATATTACTGACATGTAATTTTGAGTGTTGAAAACACATCTCATGCAATTATAAATTTTGAAGTGGATATTTTCAATAACAAATTAAAAGAAGAAGCAAAAGAAAAGGGAAAGGGAATATATAAATTAAAATTTTGGGAGCAATCTTAGGAACTTTTGAGTCAGCACTGTAAATTGCTTTTGCTTTTGTTTCCTCAATTGTTTTTTTCTCTTTATTTCAATATTGAACTTTGTTTTTCTTTTCTTTCTTCTTTTAATTTCTTCCCGTTATTGAAAACATCCACTTAAAAATTTATAATTGCACGAGATGTGCTTTCAAAACTCACATTACATGTCAATAATATTGCAGGAAACAACACCCCAGTCCATGCTGAGTGGAAATCAACTTAATTCTCATATATATAGCTGTCACTCTAATAATTTATTTCAATAGTGGAAATAAATTACAACAATGGTTATAATTTTGGGTGTACTTGAACTGTGGTGGAGCAGAAGACAGAGTGCTAGAATTATTACAAATGGTGTATGAATTCATGCTATTCATTTTGGTACATTCAAGGTCAACTTTCATCTCTGTTGGTTTTGAGTTGTTATTCTGAACCATCTTATCTCTCAAATACAAATGTCAGCTCACTCTAGAAGCCTTATTTCTGTGGAGTTGGTTTCTAAGTACATAATTTGATAATCTATATCCTCTACATTGTGAGTTGACATTTTCAACAATAGCAACCTGAACAATGACCTTGGCTTCTAGAAAGGAAAAGGAGTGAAGCTGAGGAAAGCAATCCTTTAGGGGACAATTGTCCACCCAAAGATCCTCCCAAGATTTATCTTATTACCAGAAGCATCATCCCTGACCAGGCTTAGGAACTCTGAGCTAACAGCGAACATTTTACAACTCAGATTCACCAAATATTAGCTCATTTAAAATTCTAGAAAAGGGGTCATTGCTTGGTGCAACAGCAAAGTCTCAGGCTGACAAGCATGAGAACATTGGTTCGAGTCTAACAGTAGCAATTTGTACAAGAAAAAGCCTAAGAATAATTTGAAAGTATAGATGAATTAATTAAATCTTTAAGTTCATTAGCTTTATAAATCAGAGTTCATCAAATATTCACTCTCATTTGAAATTCAGTAAAAAGAGCCACTGCACCAAGCAATGGCAAAATCCCAAGCTGACAAGCACAAGAAGTTGGATTTAGGCCTAAGAGTGTCCACTTTGTGAAAGAAAAATTCACATCCAGTCCACCCTTCCCAATACCCCAGTTAACTGGGAGCAATATTGGTTAATAGCTTTTATTTGATGTTTTGTAAAGAAAGATCAAAAAGAAAAGGAGGTAAAAGAATACTAACAGGAAAAGAAAGATATAGAACAACTTTCCACTCAGCCCAAGATAATGGTGTCACCTGCAACAGATAGGAATGCACTTTCAAATGTACATTCTCATAAAACTGGGGGAAAATGCATAAAGTAAAACAATTCTAACAACCAAAATAGTAAATATAAGGAAGAGAAGCATTACTTACAGAGAAAAGAATAGATAATGGTTTCACATACAAAATTAGCATGTGAAGGAGCATAGTTAGGAAGATTGATGCAACAAGCCATAAATTACTCCATGGAGGGATTACACTGGACATAGAGTATAGTGTAAACAGGTCAGTATCTGAATTGAATCTAAATTTTTACAAGAATATTACCTTAAAAAGAAGTTGGTCATTACTTTGCTCTCAACTGCAAAATAATAAAGAATTTTCATTTTATGATACATAATAAATGCTGTGGGTGCAAATATACCATCTTATTCTTGTTTAGCTAATTATAATGAAAACCAATTGCTCCATAACATCACCACAACCACATAGAAATAGTAAATAGCATTTGAAATTATCAATTTTTAGAATAGTGCAAAACATAGATTATATTTGGAGAAAGATACCCAGTGTTGGTGCCTCTGTGGACTTTCAATAGCTAAGATATTTGGAGTAAGACTATGTTTTAAGTCTTCAACTTTGTCTGATGATTATATTTTTATCATATGTTACTCTGGTGTTGATGTGAATAAAAATATCATGCATTCAATGAGAAAACCATGAAGACACAACAAAAAAGAAAATATAGAGGCAACTGCAGAATTCTGCAGAAATATGTGCTGACCAACCAGTGTTTAACTAGCTTTAGATCAAATTTGATCTATCTGACCAGGATTAAACCTTGTCAGAAAGAAGATCAAGAAGTTCACAAGAAGTCCCTAAAGTTGTGTCAATTGAATGGTGGAAATTCTGATTTCAAGTATAGTTCTGTTTACCAGTTCAAAAAATCCAACATGCTAGTCAAACTTGCTTTGGAGTTTGAAGGTAATGTTTGAAAGCTGAACCACTGTAGTCGAAGTAGCAGAGAAGAGGAGAAGAAGAAGAGATGCTGAAATGTCGAACTATACTTGCCAGTCGACCAGTCCTTCATTTATAGATGAATATAGTACAAGGTACAAGAAATTACTGGGATGCCCCTGATTAGTGATGGGACACCCAGATGACTTAAATCATTAAACAGGATTAGGCCCATTAACACAAGCCCAGTTACAAGATAAGTTAAACATAAGAATGGGCTAATAAGAA